AAATCTTTCACATAGAGGCAGAATATAATAATTTACTTAAATACTATCAACTTTAGAGAAAAACTGCAAAAGACAAAAATTGTTTATTTCCTTTTCATAAAACTCTATGAATTTTTTCAGAATTTTTTATTAACATTTTAGTACTGCATTTTTTTTCATTTTTATCAACTTAAGAAAATACAGTATTAAAAAATTCTGAAAAAAAATTCTTAAAAAATTCTTAGAGCTCTATGCGAAAAAAATAAACAATTTTTGTCTCTTGCAGTTTTTCTGTAAAGTTAATAGTATTTGAATAAAAAATTATTGAAGACGAAAAATTTTCGACAATTTTTAGCAATTAATATCTTATTAACTATTGCAAAAATTGCAAAATGGTAGAGAACTTTTCTTCTCAATTTAATCCATTTTGCCTCTATGCAAAATATTTGTTATTATTTTCCAAACACCCTGTATATATTATATATAATAAATCTGAAAACTTTTAAAACATTTTTTAATATAGTTAAAATAAAAATTTTGTAATATAGTTAAAATAAAATTAAATAACTTTAGTTTAGTGATAATAATAAATTAAACTTGTACTTATAATATTAAAGATCAAATTGTTTAATGAAATAAAAATTGTTATTGAAAAAGTTATTTTACTTATCACATTTCTTTAAATTAAAATTTAAATAGCCGTGTGATACATATACTTTTGCGATATCTTCTGTAAATTCTAATTTGTTTTCAGAACTTTCATTTTTATCGACATTCATTAAACACAAAATTACTTTAATGTTAAAAAAAATCAACTGCTGCTCTAAGGAAAAGCATCAAAGCAACAAAGATATATGATTTTGAAATACAAATGTTTTTTGCTTCGAGTGTATTTATTCACGTAAAATTATTCTTATATTTAGAAAATAGTAGTATTATATCCCAAGAGATGTCGAAATATCTTTGGAAACTTAGAACTTAGATGAATAAAATAAATGACTTAACAATTAATAGGAAAAAAAATGTTATTAGTTGCATTTCGAAGTCTCTTTCGATATCGCACTTCGTCGCTTGGTTGATGGAGGAAGCTTATATTACAATCGCCATCGATTATCCTGACACATGTCAGCGGAGTATGCTGACTCATCATACTAATAACATCCGACAATTTGGACACGCACACGATAAGACAACGGGCATTTCAAATGACACTAATGCCATTCGCTACAAGCTAAAGCGAATACATTCCAAAATTATATATCGTTATATGCGATCCGCCTAGATATAAATTTACATGGACTTATACTAGTAAAAATAATAATAATAATAATAATAATTACAGGATAAGAAAAAGATATGTTCATATCTTCTTGCAATAATTTATTATCTTACAAACAGATATCTTGAAGACAAATATTAAAGGATTATTGCAACAAACAAAAAATTTGTGTCGTGTAAAACGGCACAATTATTATTAATTGCATAATTATTATTAAATTGGCTACGCGAGGAATTCACTGTTTGTCTTATCAGTTCAGTAGTTTAAAGAACAATTTTTTTTTTAAATAATTGGTCAGCTACTGTCATTATATTTTTAATATTATCTTTTTTCATTCTGAATCATTTATGTCCAACATTAACTAAAAGCTATTTGTGGGCATGGGCGTGAAACATATTGTTGTATAATAATAATTTTTACATATTATTTAATATTACATATTATATTAAATAAGCATAAATAAAAACAGTATTTAATTAAATAAGAGAAAATAAAAAATTTTGTCCATTTTGTCTTCCAATATTTTCAGCTTGAAAAACAGCCCACAGTTTTTAAATTTCAAAAATACAATATTATTTTATTCTCGCATATAGACCAATGACGTCATGCGAATCGACTTTTCTGACTTTTATTGACTCGTATCTACATTGGTCCCTTTATATCGATATATCTCATGATGACACATGAATCGCCCTCTTACGTTTACAAGCGACGTTTATGTTAAATAGTAAATAACAATCGATTTTCATCGTGCAGAAAGCGATCGAGGTTCATCATAAGAAAAAAAGATTTCCAAAATCACGAAGCAGTTATAAACAATTAAGCGAAATAAAAAGATCATACTTTCTTATATTCTCATTAATAAAGGTTATGATATTTAAAATATTATCAATATTTAAAATATATTTTGAATTGTTTTAATATTCTAATACTAATCAAAATTAAAATAAATATAGAACTATGATTATGTACAGGGAGCTATCAGTATTATTGTATCATTTTGTTCTTGTTTTATGTCTAATGAACAATAAAATTAAAATGGCACAATAACGCTGATAATGCGATCTCCTAACGCAGTTTGTACCACACTGACCATAATATTTTTTTTATTCATTTTCTTTCTTCAAGTGCGATAAAAATTAAAATAGTTTCATTTCGATTTTTGTACTAAAAATCTGTACTAAAAACGAAAATTAAACTACTTCGTGATTGCGGAAAACTGATTAAATCAAAAGTAGTCTTTACAATATCGATGCTTATACACCTCACAGCATTTCAGTCGTTGGAATGGTATATCAATATCTTTAGTATTCCATTCCAAAACAAATATACTTAATGTCTAGATTTGACATTAAAAAAAAATTTTATTGTATATTTTATTGTAATTGTCTAAATATATTTTCGGCATAACGCACCTATAATGTAATAATAATAATTTCGCGCCTTTATTTTTCTTTTATATAATTTCTTTATATTCTTTATTAAACGTAAAGTTTAAATTAAACGTTAACTTTTATTAAATTTAATTACGTGCAATCCGTATATTGCATCCAAATGTAATCCGTTTACTGACACATTGCACTTATTCACTATGGCTATCGATCAATCGCAAATGATATTTCATATTGAGCATATGTAAAACTTATATGAGAGAAATTATTTACAAAAAAGAAAGAAAAAGAATACTGCAGTTTTTCTTATGAATGTAATCCACTCAATTTGCCATTCAAATCAAAAATTTGTGTATCGTTGTTGATACAAATCAAACTGCAATTACGCTCAGCCTAGAGCGAAATTTTCATTTCGCTGGCTAACGAATGCCTGAAAATTATCGTGTTAATGGGACTGGCATAAATTGACTATAGTAATTTCCCATCATAAATTGCTTGCGACTTTATTCAGATTAAGATTTGGAATATGGATTTGTTCGATAATTTTTTTTATTAGAATTGAATCAACTTTAATAAAAATTTAATTTAATAAAAAACATTTAATAAAAAAACTGTGCGTGCTTAAAAACCTTAAAAAATTAAATCCCGTTTTTTATATACGCTACTTTACTTTAGGCGATATAATGAATTCTATATTAAATTAATTCTCACACAAACGATCAATTGTTCCGGTGTCAATAATATTCTTGATTGATAACCTTATTTAATAAGGCTGAGAATATTTTGTCACTCAAGACACGGCCTATGTACTTATATATATATATATATATGTATATACTGACAGCACTATCATCAGACAAAGGTTATCGATCCACGCTCTTCTCACGCAACAACACATAAAGATAAAAGACGCAATATTACGCTGTCACTAAAAATGAATCAACTCTATCGGTTACCAATCCCTATTATCTGTTCAATTAAATCTCTGATCAAGTCCCACCGGCAATTACCTCCCGCTGATAGATTCATCGCTTCTCAACCGATCGAATGAGAGAGAGAGAGAGAGAGAAATGAAAGTAAAAAAAAGGGAGATCAATCTCTGACGCTATCTCGACCCGAAGAAGCCGAGAGTTTTCAGAGTGTCGGTGACTCTGTTGATCAGCTTATCCCTATAACGCCATATCGTCGTGTCTACCACACTATTCTCCCGATATTCCACGCATGTTTTCTTTAACGATCGCACGCAATCGGCGCGATAATGCTGCAGCTGCGCATCCTCAGTCTCGATGGGATAACTAGTGCATCCAGCACCCAGACATGCCAAGGGAAAATGATTGTGCAGAGTGACCACTCGTTCTGGATTATGGAAACACTTGATGTATTGATTTGGTTTCGTAAAGTTCTTCGATCGGTACACGTGTTGAAGCATATGCATATACCTATGAGAAAAATGTTAAAATCAAGAATACATTTCTTTATTTCATGTGAGTTAGAATTTCTTGGAAAAGATGATAAGAGTAGAAGATGTTCAGAATTAACTATAAATATCATTCCAAAAACTTGATATAAATTTAGAAACATTTTTTTCTTAAAGCAAAACTATTATCAAAGTTTTTCATATACACACAGTTAATTTTTTCGCTCATTTTATTAAGATTAAAATGAAGATATAAACATCTATCTCGCAGTACAAATCAAATATTTTAAAATTTGCATCGCTACAAAAAGATATAAGGGAAAAATAGTATAATAATATAATTGTACAGTATGTACATATATAATAAGAATCATATTACGTAAATTGTTCCTCAACAAATTCATTCAGTTATCAAATTTCCTATTTCTTCTTCGAAATTATAATTTTTAATTCGCAAAAACAAATTCGTGATTCCGATTACCGACGTATACCGAGTACCTACTTGCGAGCCATCCACCTTCGCATTCCCTTCACGGATGGTCGATTTGTGCGCGGCGTGAAAGTGGAAACCTTACTTACTTGGGTATGTCCTTGAAGTAACCATGAGAGTGCAGTAGGTCGTCGAGGAAGTAGACGTTTCTGACGTTGTACGAGGCACGGGTCTCATTCCGTATTTGTAGGGCCTTGGGCAATACCCGGCGCATCAGCTCTTGCCAGGTCGCGTCCTTCACGGGCATAATCACTTCGTCGACGTCCAACAGTGCGATATACTCGTATTCATACATATGCTTATACAAACAATCGTTGTAAGGTATTAGTTCATTTTGCCGTTTGTGATTGGTTTTCTTCGTGAGATACATGTGCTGGAAGGCAGGCACGTTAGGCTGTCCGCCCGGCAGGGTTAATGGGGTCACATGTACCATACCCAGACGCTGATAATGCCGCAGCACCTTGGTTACGTTCGGGTGTACCTGCAGCTCATAAAAGTAGATTTTGTCAGCACCCAACAGGTTGATCAGCTCGATCCATTCAACCAGTCGAACCGACAGATCCTCATGCAGAAAGTCCAGCCCTTTTACGCACACTGCAAAGTCCTTTTTACGTTCGGGCTTGTTATAAATTACGCGGAGATGATTGGTGGCCGTGTCGCAACGCTTCTCCACTATGGAGACGGACGACGGTGGCTTACCGTGCGCTTGTGGTGGCACCCTACATGCTATCACGTATGGCTGATAAATGCCCTGCTTGTAATTGCCCCATTTAGGATACCATATATACTTATATTCGAGCGTCTCGACAATCTTGGGCTCATTCTCGCCTTCGTACCATAATTGACAATATGTCTTCACGATTGGTTCAATTCGATCGATCATACCAACGATCCTTATTGCCGGCCCAATCTTGGATAATTTCCGATTGTCGTAAAACGCACCGAAAAATTGAAACGTGCCATTATTAGTTCGCAGCGTTTGCCAATAGATGTTATTGAATTCTAAATCGTAGATCTGTGGGTATTTGGCGCAGCTCTCATTGCTTCGTTTTGTCAGTTTGCTATTTTTAGACCAATCGCTCAGTGGTAAGCTCGGTATTCTTTCGGCGATCTCCTCGATTAATTGCTGTTCGGTCTTGGCAGGTCTTTTATCTAGCAACGGTTCCAACTCGAGCGGATTTATCGTCGCTTCCAAATGGTTTTTAAGAGTAGTTAGAGTGGTCAACACAGCGCCGTTACCGCCGCCAATATTGGTGAAATCGCTCAGTGAAGACCTTTCCAAGAGAATTCGAGATAGACTCAAGCTTCCTGAAGAATCTTGATTCGCATCTCGATCGTTGTTGATGCTACCGACCTCCACCAGGTTACTGATGCTGTCCTCGGCCGTAGGACCACTGTCCTGACGCAAAACTCTATTTTCCAAGTGACGAAACTGTACTGCCGCGATCATCAACAGTCCCCAGGCGAACACGAAGACGAAGGCACGCTTCGCGCATTTTGATGAACTGCCGCCACAACTTTGTCTCGTTGTCATCCTGTTGGTTTTCCCGAGATGTCTTTCCAATCAATACTGGACGATACTGAATTGTTGAATCTCCGTATCTTCTTCTGTGAATTTAACCGTGTCCTCTTCCTCTGAGGACCAAATCTGAAACAGGAAAGCTTGTTGTCCACAAAGTGTCAATTGAATTGTAAAAACGATCGATTAATGCGAGTGACAGAGACTCTCTTTTATGTTGATTGCTTTATTATTCAATCGAAACTTATTTTTTCTATTCTTGTTAAAATCTTATTGATAAAGATTTAATCACAAGCAATTAATTTCGCTAAAAAAATAACAAAAATTTAATAAAAGTTTTAGTTTGTATTTTTCAATTTTTAAAATAACTCTTTGTGAATAATTTAAAGATTATCGAAAATAAATTCAAGATATGTCTATAAAAGAGTAAACTCAATGGAACAATCCAAATTAAAATCCAGAGATTCTTATTTAAATCATCGGTACTGTTTTAATCGGAACGTTGGAAAATCATTCTTTTTAAGAAGAAGAAATAAGGCAAATGATTTATCCGCAAATAAACGATACGAAAGTTACAAAGTAATTCATGATTAGTTGACAGAATTTGGGGCAAGAGACGAGATAATGTCTTTAACTGTATAAGGACACCCGCTACTGGTAACCAGTACTCGACTATCATCAAGAAAGCGAGCGACCCTGTCGGGCGAAACCCCGTTGGTCGGATCGGGCGAGTCTCAGAAGAGCAAAAGAAAACAAGAGAGAGAAGGAGCGCAAGACCCGCTCGCTGGAGATACGTGGAACCGGTTATGCTGATGGCAAACTGTTTTTCACCTTTTGCACTTCGCTTCAACTAACCTCCTCCCTTCCTGACCACCTCGGGTCTTTTGCCCGACGATGTTTCTCTTCGTCTCTCCCTAGTCTCTTCCTTTCCTTTCCCTCTAAACCTAGGCAATGATGGCGGACTCTCAGGATCAAGTTTGACCGCAACCTAGGATTTTCTATGAAGATTCTACCTCTATCACGTTTGCTTTATTGTATATGCGTCTATATGTATTTGTCATACTTTTATATATCTATGAAATTTTTAATCTAGCGACGGTATTTAATAGAATAATAATTTTATCCTGATAATCCTCTATCTTGTCCACATATTAATTAAAATTCTATTAATATACAAAAATGTTTAGAAGAAAAAGTATACAAAAATCAATTTCTTTTTCTTTTTCAATGAAAAAACATTGATAAAAAATATATTATAAAAA